TAGCCGACAGAGTGTATCGTGATCCAGCCTGTACTCCTCTTGACATGCCAGAAAGTATTCTGAGGAAACTACTCCAAGCTTGTACTAAAGAGGCACCCTTCTTGAGCCCGGATGGGCACATGTATAAGCAAGTAGATGGGGTCGCCATGGGTTCTCCCCTAGGTGTCCTGTTTGCAAACTTCTACATGGGTACCATCGAGCAAAAAGTCTTAGTCGACATGAACTTGAAACCGGCCATATACTGCAGGTATGTTGACGACATTTTTACACAGGTACCTGATGTCAGACATCTGCAGGAGCTGAAGGAGGCATTTGAGCAGAGTTCCGTGCTGCGTTTCACTTACGAGACGGAAAAGGATGGGAAGCTGCCTTTTCTAGATGTAACAGTCATGGAAAAGGGCGGAGGTTTCCACACTGCAGTCTACACTAAGGAAACAAACATAGGAATGTGCCTAAATGCCAACAGCGACTGCCCTGACAGGTACAAGAGGAGTGTTGTTAACGCATACGTCGACCGTGCTCTCAGCCACAGCTCAGAATGGAAGCAAGTCGACGAAGAACTCTGTAGGGTAAGGCAGGTCCTAGTCAATAACGGCTTCTCCAATGGTTTCATCGAAGACATCATAAGAAGGAAAGTGAAAAGCCATGCAACCTCTGAAGAGACAACTAACACAACACCTATACCCCCTATTAGACTATTTTACAGGAACTTCTTTTCCACAGCTCATAAAACGGAGGAAAGGGTCCTGAAAGATATTGTTAATAGAAACGTTATCCCTACAGACAAAAATCAGAGGATACAACTGACGATTTACTATAAAACCAGAAAAACGGCCAGCCTACTCATGAGAAACTCTCCAGACACAAAACAGAACGCTTTAAAAGAGACTAATGTCGTCTATGCCTTCAAATGCCCACTTGGGGACTGTAAGCTCCAAAAAACCCAGTATATAGGCAAGACAACAACATCTCTTTCTAGGCGTTTAACGATGCATAAGCAACAGGGCTCCATTAAGGAACATATAATCTCTTCCCATAACCAAACCATCGCCAGAGAAATCCTAGTAAACAACACAGAAATCATCGATAGATACAGCGATAGCAGGCGGCTTGACGTTTGCGAGGCACTACACATCAAGAAGTCAACACCAGCAATCAACAGCCAATTATTGCACAACTATATTCTACCCACCTCAAGACTCCGCTCCAATATAGAAGCATCAAGAAATATGGACCAATAGGCTTTCTACAAACACTTCTATTCAATACCCATTGTTTCTGTTCTGTCTTGTGTTGATACTTTTAATACCCTATTAATATCCCCTCTTGTTCTGTCTTGTGTTAATGCCACATCACCCTTCCCACCTCACTCAAATGTAGATATAAAATCAGAGATACGTAAGTTCTAATCAGTTGTGTATTTGTGAAGTCTTTGAAAATGTAATAAGTTTTACGAAACGCGCCCGTGTCGCGTCAGACTAGAAATAAAAATGAATTTTGGAGAAGTGATTTTTGATTTACCTCCAACAGTGAAGCGTAATGTACGAAAGATTGAGAAAATTCGTGTTAGAATTATTAATCTTACTTTTTCGGTCATATTTAATAATATATGTCTACAGGAAAGACTGCTATATATATACTATATATATATATATATATATATATATATATATATATATATATATATATATATATATATATATATATATATATATATATATATATATATGCAGAATAACCACACGTGAAAAATAGAAAATGCTTAACGCGTTTTCGGCTAATTCGCCTTCATCAGAGCAAAGTAGAATGAAGATAAGATTGCTGATCAGACCTTTATATCCGCCTGGGCAGATCACCTGACCACCAAAAATAAGTTGAGGAAAGGAATTATAAGAAAGAAGGTATCTGCAGAAGGCCTATTGGCCCATACGAGGCAGCTCCTATTAATATCTCCAAGTGCCATACGTGTTAAATGATTGCTATATTGTTTTGACGTGCTATATTGAGGCTTAAATAGGGATCCAACTTGTACATACCGGGGCTCACATTAAGGCTGTTGTTACAATGTTTGATCAGAGCGGACTCGATTACGTTTCGTTCAACAAAAACTTTACTTTTAACAATACATTTTGCCCCTGTGAAGTCGATAGAATGATTACATAAACTGGAATGTAAATACAATGCACTGGATTGCTGGGCTGTACGAATAGCGTATGAATGCTGTTTTAAACGCGAGGAAAGAGATTTACCTGTCTGGCCGATGTAAACACATGCACACTCATTACAAGGGATGGAATACACACAACCTGCTACAGACGAGGGCGAGTTCTTAATTAACATGGACTTAACTGTATTATCATTTTTGAACACTAGATTAATATTAAGGTTCTTCAGGGCTGGGGCAAGATTTACTAGACCCTCAGAATATGGTAATACCAACGAATTTTTCAGTTCTGGTTTAGACTTAGTAGTCTGTTTGTAGAAAGTCCTTTTTGCTTGACCAAACGCAAGATCCAAGATCGATTTTGAGTATTTTAACTTCTTCCCAATTTCAAATATATTTGCTATTTCTTCATCGAAAAATTCCGGACTGCAAACTCTCAATGCTCTGAGAAACATACCAGAAAAAACTGCCCGCTTCTTGCATAGTAGGCCGAGAAGTGCGTTCTGGCTACTAGGTTCGACATATATATATATATATATATATATATATATATATATATATATATATATATATATATATATATATATATATATATATATATATACTCGCAGCAACTATAGTCTACAATCATCAGCAGATTTCCTAGAAATAATCAAAACTACACAGCCCGATGTAATTATTGTTTCACTGGACTTCGTATCCCTATTTACCAACGTCCTAGTCGACACAACCATAGGAATGATACTGGACAGAGTATACAGAGACGAGAGCTCCCCCAAATTAGACGGTCCCGAGCCACACTTGAAGAGTCTTATCGAGGCATGTACACAGGAAGCTCCTTTCATCAGTCCGCAAGAGGACATGTATCTTCAACTAGACGGAGTAGCAATGGGCTCCCTCTTAGCAGTGTTATTTGCTAATTTTTACATGGGAACCATCAAAGATAGAGTCTTTAGTATTCGGCAAAAGCCAATGGTATACTGCCGTTATGTAGATGGTAGTATACTGCCGTTATGTAGATGGCCGTATACTGCCGTTATGTAGATGGTAGTATACTGCCGTTATGTAGATGGCCGTATACTGCCGTTATGTAGATGGCAGTATACTCCGTTATGTAGATGGCAGTATACTCCGTTATGTAGATGGCAGTATACTCCGTTATGTAGATGGCAGTATACTCCGTTATGTAGATGGCAGTATACTCCGTTATGTAGATGGCAGTATACTCCGTTATGTAGATGGCAGTATACTGCCGTTATGTAGATGGCAGTATACTCCGTTATGTAGATGGCAGTATACTCCGTTATGTAGATGGCAGTATACTCCGTTATGTAGATGGCAGTATACTGCCGTTATGTAGATGGCAGTATACTCCGTTATGTAGATGGCAGTATACTCCGTTATGTAGATGGCAGTATACTCCGTTATGTAGATGGCAGTATACTCCGATATGTAGATGGCAGTATACTCCGTTATGTAGATGGCAGTATGTAGATGGCAGTATACTCCGTTATGTAGATGGCAGTATACTCCGTTATGTAGATGGTAGTATACTCCGTTATGTAGATGGCAGTATACTCCGTTATGTAGATGGCAGTTTACTCCGTTATGTAGATGGCAGTATACTCCGTTATGTAGATGGTAGTATACTCCGTTATGTAGATGGCAGTATACTCCGTTATGTAGATGGCAGTTTACTCCGTTATGTAGATGACAGTATACTCCGTTTATTCGTCATAGTAAAAGACCCAGATGAACTAATTGATCTAAAAAGTCATCTAGAAAGAGAGTCAGTACTACGTTTTACCCATGAAAATAATGAAAATAACAGTCTGCCATTCCTGGTTGTACTAATAACAAAAACATGGATCTCTCTAAGCACCAGTGTATATGCTAAACCTACAAACATAGGATTATGCCTAAACGGTACTTGCTAAGACTGCAGCAAATAAAGGCAGTATTGAACAGAATCTTGAGTTATCAAATAGGTCCCTTAAAAGTGTCATTAGACGAGAACTCTTGGATGGATTTGAAGAAAGTAGAACAGTGCAAACTGGAACTAGCAGGTCCATTGTTCATCACAATGAAATGTGTGAAGTAAAACATGTGTATGGGGCAAGTAACAAAGTCAGTAGACTAACAGATGTTGTCACAGCTCGTATAAGACTTGGCTACAAGGATCTCTGGCAGTTCGGCTTGTATAGGGATCTAGATGAAGTAAAGTGTAAAGTGTGTGGACAAAGACAGGGACACACACTCGAACACTATATCTTGGATTGTAGTAAAACTGAGCCTTTTAGAGATAAATCTAAGCTCATTCTGTATGCTTGGCAACCTATCTTATTATCAAGGATGAATTACCTGAAATCCTTGCACTGTATCCATATTTTGCTTCCAGTAGATGACCGACATATGAGATGAAGAAACAAGTAGTGTATTGTGAAGACTAATAATAAACAGAAGCTCCCCTATGACTCTGTAATATCCCCATTGGCCAAACTATTATGTATTAGCGATAAGACCTACCATTAATGTATGATGACTTACTGTAAATATGTAGCTCTTGAAATAGAACATTCTCTGTAACTAGCTGACATGTAACTATAAGGTGTGAAGGATAGATGAAATTGTTTATGTAATTATCTAAGATGAGGTCTGATAAAGACCTTTTGTGCCCTCTGCAATGCTTTTTGTGCTACCGCTCACAGGATGGGTATGGGGTGCACAATAAACTAGCCGCCTCCGGCAGCAACAATCAAATCACATCGGAAGGAGTGAGAGCCTCCAAAGATAAAAAGCTAAGTGTTCTTAACGCTTATATTCGTCGAGCTCTTACCCACTGCTCTGAATGGAGCAACGTGGGTAGGGAGTTTGAGAGAATAACTCAGGTGTTGGTGAACAATGGATATAGCAACACAAAAATATACACTGTACCTCGATTGATGGTACAATCCTGAACCAAGAACATAAACTACAACACCTCCAATGAAAATATATTATAAATCCACCATGCACAGTGAACATAAAAAAAACGAATAATGAAAGAAATAATCCGTAAAGGAGTAAAAAACAACTCCTAAGCAAAACGTAAACCTACTCATATTCTATAAAACAAAGAAGACTACCGATCTCCTTATAAACAGGCCGAAGCCGACGGAGAACCCTCTACAGCAGTCAAGCGTTGTATACATGTACACTTGCCCCCACGAAGGATGTAACCCTCAATCTAAGTACATAGGTATGACGTCGACCAAGCTGACGAGGCGTTTGACATGCCATCTTCAATCCGGTGCTATGTCTGTGATAGGTAACAAAAGACATGCTTCTTTAAAACTGTGTTTTTCATGTGAGGGAAATCTCCGAAACCACTTTACCGATTGCTTTGAAATTATGACACAACGTTGCATTCGAATACGTGCGTGTTTTTATATACCTACTATATACATGCCACCTTCTGTGACAGATAAAATCATATGTTGCACATAAAAGCAACACACGCTATACTAAATATGTTACGATTCCAATGTTTCCGACTGCATTGATAAATTGCATTTTCATAGAGTTCAATTTATTTCAATTTTTATTTAATTATTTTGTGTAACATTGCGTTGGAATTAGGCTGCGTTGTTTACATACCGTTCATTTCGTGAGTAAAGTTTATTTTTTTATTTTTTTTATTGATTTTTATTTCTTTTTTTAAACTGTTCATGTTTTTCAGTGAAGGGAACATTAAATCATTTGATGTTCTTATTTTTCTGATGGGAACATCAGATCATTTGAGAAATCATCAAACGAGAGAGTGGGGAATGGTGGGGAGGACACGGGGACGGGGAAGTGGAGAATGGTGGGGTGGACACGGGGAAAGAGGAGTGAGGGATGCTGGGGAAGACAAGGGGGATGGGGGAGTGGTGGGGGGGGGGGATAATGGGGAGGACAAGGGGACAGGGGGCGTGGCCAGGATTCGAACTCATGACGTCCAGGATCACCCCTACACGTACACCGTACCATGATCACCGCACCATTGATCGTCTTTTTGCTTGCGTAGAGGATCAATAATGCAGTGATCGTAGACGATCAATAGACATCTTAATGATAGGCTACATTTGAGACTACCCAAGTAGTCTCCACTTGAGACCAAGCAGGCTGAGACCAAGCAGGCTGAGACCAAGCAGGCTGAGACCAAGCAGGCTGAGACCAAGCAGGCTGAGACCAAGCAGGCTGAGACCAAGCAGGCTGAGACCAAGCAGGCTGAGAGCAAGCAGGTTGAGACCAAGCAGGCTGAGACCAAGCAGGCTGAGACCAAGCAGGCTGAGACCAAGCAGGCTGAGACCAAGCAGGCTGAGAGCAAGCAGGTTGAGACCAAGCAGGCTGAGACCAAGCAGGCTGAGACCAAGCAGGTTGAGAGCAAGCAGGCTGAGACCAAGCAGGCTGAGACCAAGCAGGCTGAGACCAAGCAGGCTGAGACCAAGCAGGCTGAGACCAAGCAGGCTGAGACCAAGCAGGCTGAGAGCAAGCAGGCTGAGACCAAGCAGGTTGAGACCAAAAGGCTGAGACCAAGCAGGCTGAGACCAAGCAGGCTGAGACCAAGCAGGCTGAGACCAAGCAGGCTGAGACCAAGCAGGCTGAGACCAAGCAGGCTGAGACCAAGCAGGCTGAGACCAAGCAGGCTGAGACCAAGCAGGCTGAGACCAAGCAGGCTGAGACCAAGCAGGCTGAGACCAAGCAGGCTGAGACCAAGCAGGCTGAGACCAAGCAGGCTGAGACCAAGCAGGCTGAGAGCAAGCAGGCTGAGACCAAGCAGGCTGAGACCAAGCAGGCTGAGACCAAGCAGGCTGAGACCAAGCAGGCTGAGACCAAGCAGGCTGAGACCAAGCAGGCTGAGACCAAGCAGGCTGAGACCAAGCAGGCTGAGACCAAGCAGGCTGAGACCAAGCAGGCTGAGACCAAGCAGGCTGAGACCAAGCAGGCTGAGACCAAGCAGGCTGAGACCAAGCAGGCTGAGACCAAGCAGGCTGAGACCAAGCAGGCTGAGAGCAAGCAGGCTGAGACCAAAAAGGCTGAGACCAAGCAGGCTGAGACCAAGCAGGCTGAGACCAAGCAGGCTGAGACCAAGCAGGCTGAGACCAAGCAGCTGAGACCAAGCAGGCTGAGACCAGGCTGAGACCAAAAAGGCTGAGACCAAGCAGGCTGAGAGCAAGCAGGCTGAGACCAGGCTGAGACCAAGCAGGCTGAGACCAAGCAGGCTGAGACCAAGCAGGCTGAGACCAAGCAGGCTGAGACCAAGCAGGCTGAGACCAAGCAGGCTGCAAGCAGGCCAAGCAGGCTGAGACCAAGCAGGCTGAGACCAGCAGGCTGAGACCAAGCAGGTTGAGACCAAGCAGGCTGAGACCAAGCAGGCTGAGACAAGCAGGCTGAGACCAAGGCTGAGACCAAGCAGGCTGAGACCAAGCAGGCTGAGACCAAGCAGGCTGAGAGCAAGCAGGCTGAGACCAAGCAGGCTGAGACCAAGCAGGCTGAGACCAAGCAGGCTGAGACCAAGCAGGCAGGCTACTACACTTGAGAACAAGCAGGCACGATGACCACCGGACACCACAGCCCCGCACAGTGTGTCCGGGGGCACGATGACCACCGGACACCACAGCCCCGCACAGTGTGTCCGGGGGCACGAGGACCACCGGACACCACAGCCTCGCACAGTGTGTCCGGGGGCACGAGGACCACAGGACACCACAGCCTCGCACAGTGTGTCCGGGGGCACGAGGACCACCGGACACCACAGCCTCGCACAGTGTGTCCGGGGGCACGAGGACCACCGGACACCACAGCCCCGCACAGTGTGTCCGGGGGCACGAGGACCACCGGGCACCACAGCCTCGCACAGTGTGTCCGGGGGCACGAGGACCACCGGACACCACAGTCTCGCACAGTGTGTCCGGGGGCACGAGGACCACCGGACACCACAGCCCCGCACAGTGTGTCCGGGGGCACCAGGACCACCGGACACCACAGCCTCGCGCAGTGTGTCCGGGGGCACCAGGACCACCGGACACCACAGCCCCGCACAGTGTGTCCGGGGGCACGAGGACCACCGGACACCACAGCCCCGCACAGTGTGTCCGGGGGCACGAGGACCACCGGACACCACAGCCCCGCACAGTGTGTCCGGGGGCACGAGGACCACCGGACACCACAGCCCCGCACAGTGTGTCCGGGGGCACGAGGACCACCGGACACCACAGCCTCGCACAGTGTGTCCGGGGGCACGAGGACCACCGGACACCACAGCCTTGCACAGTGTGTCCAGGGGCACGAGGACCACCGGACACCACAGCCCCGCACAGTGTGTCCGGGGGCACGAGGACCACCGGACACCACAGCCCCGCACAGTGTGTCCGGGGACACGAGGACCACCGGACACCACAGCCCCGCACAGTGTGTCCGGGGGCACGAGGACCACCGGACACCACAGCCTCGCACAGTGTGTCCGGGGGCACGAGGACCACCGGACACCACAGCCTTGCACAGTGTGTCCGGGGGCACGAGGACCACCGGACACCACAGCCTCGCACAGTGTGTCCGGGGGCACAAGGACCACCGGACACCACAGCCTTGCACAGTGTGTCCGGGGGCACGAGGACCACCGGACACCACAGCCTTGCACAGTGTGTCCGGGGGCACGAGGACCACCGGACACCACAGCCTCGCGCAGTGTGTCCGGGGGCACGAGGACCACCGGACACCACAGCCCCGCACAGTGTGTCCGGGGGCACGAGGACCACCGGACACCACAGCCTCGCGCAGTGTGTCCGGGGGCACGAGGACCACCGGACACCACAGCCTCGCGCAGTGTGTCCGGGGGCACGAGGACCACCGGACACCACAGCCTCGCACAGTGTGTCCGGGGGCACGAGGACCACCGGACACCACAGCCTCGCACAGTGTGTCCGGGGGCACGAGGACCACCGGACACCACAGCCTCGCGCAGTGTGTCCGGGGGCACCAGGACCACCGGACACCACAGCCTCGCTCCTCGAGTAACACAGTAGCAGACGAGTTACATTTTTAAGTTGTTCAGTTTCCTTTACACTTGTCGTGCATTTGGGTGTGTGAGAAGCCGGGAGGGTACTGGTGTACCGCTGATGCTCTCTGCACCAGTACTGACTTGATGGACGAGTGACATATTATTAATAAACAACTTGAAAAATGAAAGCCCAATAAGTGTTCAGTATTATACGAAACATTTGTCAGGATCCTTAAAGAATGTAAAGATGAATTTATTAAGCTCCAGCGAGTGCACTTGTGACCAAGTAACTCACATGAACCAGGGGCCGGATTTATCAAAACGTTAAACAAAGACTTATGAATCTGAACATCTTTTCTCGATCTTTAGCGACTTTGTTTACATTTATTAAGCAATTGATGAGCTCTGATGCACTAGAAGTCTGCTTATAAAAAATAATAACGTTTTATTGGGAAGTTTCAATGCTCGTGCTGGCTGTTGTTGTTGTTGTTTTAGATTCAGCTACTCGGAACTAAAGTTGCAAGTAGCACGGGCTATGGTGAGCCCGTAGTGGATGCTCGTTTAATACATGTAAACAAAACCGGCAAATTTTCAGAGAAGATGTACAGGTTAGTAAGTAGATGGATAAATGCTTGTTGAATAAGAATAAGAGGACTAGTTTAGCTCACCTCGAGGCACTGGGGCTCGTGGATGGAGAGGGACTTGCTGCCGAAGCCTCGGCCACAGATGTAACAGACCATGGTGGGTGCTGTGCTCCCTCTGTTGCTGCTGGGCTGGCTGCTGTCTGCGCCCCGGGAGCCCGAGTTACTGCCAGGCTGGCTGCTGTCTGCGCCCCGGGAGCCCGAGTTACTGCTGGGGTGGCTGCTGTCTGCGCCCCGGGAGCCCGAGTTACTGCCAGGCTGGCTGCTGTCTGCGCCCCGGGAGCCCGAGTTACTGCCAGGCTGGCTGCTGTCTGCGCCCCGGGAGCCCGAGTTACTGCCAGGCTGGCTGCTGACTGCGCCCCGGGAGCCCGAGTTACTGCCAGGCTCACACGAACCTTCACTCTCCTCCTCGATCTTACCAATGTGACGAGGGGGATGTGACGCTCTCTGCTGGCTAACACTTTTTTCACTGTTCAATTTGTTTTGTTTCACAGTAACTTCCCGTTTTCTTTGAGATAACGGACTGATACCATTTTCACTTTGTTGAGAAGGGGAAACGTCTCTGCCGTATATTTCTATATTAAAGTCTTTTTGTCCCTTTGCAATGGAAGCCTTTTGATTTTGGATAAATTTCTTTAAAGGCACAGTTTTTTCCGCAGCATCTGCCTTCTTAGTGAGCACAGGCGACGTCTCCACACTCCTCGACTTCAGATTTATTGCGTTTGGAGGTTTTAACTTGCTCTTCCTGCCAGAGCTCTTCTTCTCGTCATCAAAACTCTTACTCTTGTACTTGAGGGCGGTGGGTTTGGTGACGATGAGTTTGTTGAGCTGCTTGCTCTTGTTCTTGTCCTCTGACTTGGGTTTGAACTTCTGCATGTGTAACGGGTGGCTATGGAAGCGCTCCGGGTTCTGCTCCTTCCCGCACGTCAGGCAAGGCTCAGGGATCTGTAGGGACATGCAGTCATATTATCATCATTAATAGTATGTAGAGTCCTGACTCCATGGGGTGGAGCACTACTACTGACGCACCTCTGGGTTAACCAGTGACATAAAGTGGTTAACTCTACCACTGACATTAACCATTGCAACATAAAGCAGTATCGCTAGCACCCACACTCACCATAACCGGTGGGTAAAGCCCTGGCATAAAGCAAGGCGGCTGAGTGAGGAAGCCGCCATGTGTGAGGACACTAAGCGCTGGCTGTGATGGTCTCCATCCACACATGCAGGCGAGGAGTCACAATAACGTGGCTGAAGTATGTTGACCAGACCACACACTAGAAGTTGAAGGGACGACGACGTTTCGGTCCGTCCTGGATCATTCAAGTCGACTGTCGACTTGAGAATGGTCCAGGACGGACCGAAACGCCGTCGTCCCTTCACCTTCCAGTGTGTGGTCTGGTCAACCCCATCCATACACTCTGCCTAACTCAATGTTATCATTTAATGCAATAGTGAGTAATATTAGTTATGTCTGGGTTGAACTGTCATGTAAGGAATACTATCATTAGCGACGTATTGTTATAAAAAAGAAATACATTGTGTAATTGTCCTCAAGTACACGTTGTGTAGTTGAGGACACATTAACTCTTCTTAAAATGATGAAGGAGAGGAGGTAGTGGGGGCGGGGGCCCGTTCTTGTGCACTCAGCCCAGCCAGAGTGCACAGTACCTACAGTAACCATGTGCACTGTGCACTATACTACATATGTTGACCTAATGGACAGTCGCAACGTAGACTCTGGTAGTGTTGAAGTTGGACAAACCGGAAAAGGTTTTGCATTTATGTTGCTAATAAAACCCTAACCTAACATTCCTAGGTCTAATATACGCCCTCTGAGGCCTAATATAGTATATATATGTGCTATATTAGGCCTAGGAATATTGAATTTTGCTTTTTAGCGTGATTTTTCCAGACTCCATGAAGTGAATAGTACGAAATTCTACTGTCTAATTGTCCATTACGTCAGTACATGAACGATGGTTCACATGGTTACTAAAATTACCAACTAACAGGAGCACGAACTGCCACACACACGGTGACCTTGACCCCGGGGGGGGGCCTTAGGGGGGAGGGGGCCCTCAGGAAGAGGGGAGCTCTTAGGGGGGAGGGGGAGCCCTTAGGGGGGAGGGGAGCCCTTAGGGGGGAGGAGAGCCCTTAGGGGGGAGGAGGTCACTAGGGGGGAGGGGGGGCCTTAGCCACGTTGCCCATAACCCTAAAAAAGTCAGGTAATGAATTCAAACAATAATTTAGAAATACAGGAGGAAGCCATGCATAGACTTTTAAATACGTTTTTAAACTGGTGAGAATTTTAGACTTCTAAATTTAGGAAGGTAAATTAGAGGTACGAGCAATCGGTTTAATTATTGATACATTAGTAAATCCGAACGTGAAAAAGATCTAGATTCTAGAAGACATGATTAGTTTGTCTCTAAAACCAAGAGAGCGGTGCAGAGGTGCTTGAAACAGGGCCAGTGAGAGTACCAGGAGTCTCATCCAGAAGCGTGAGTGTTAAAGGCTCTACAGTTATGCTTGGAGTGCATCTTCCCCTTAAGTTAGTACACGAATGAATGGATTGAAATTTCAGAAATGTTGATTTATAGAATAAATGTGATTGTTGAGCTGTGGAACGTTACAACATAACATAGTAGAGAGATTGACTGCAAGGTTGTAGGTGTGTGATGTTGATCCCCCTCGCATGGGTCAATATTAGCTCCCTCGCATGGGTCAATATTAGCTCCCTCGCATGGGTCAATATTAGCTCCCTCGCATGGGTCAATATTAGCTCCCTCGCATGGGTCAATATTAGCTCCCTCGCATGGGTCAATATTAGCTCCCTCGCATGGGTCAATATTAGCTCCCTCGCATGGGTCAATATTAGCTCCCTCGCATGGGTCAATATTAGCTCCCTCGCATGGGTCAATATTAGCTCCCTCGCATGGGTCAATATTAGCTCCCTCGCATGGGTCAATATTAGCTCCCTCGCATGGGTCAATATTAGCTCCCTCGCATGGGTCAATATTAGCTCCCTCGCATGGGTCAATATTAGCTCCCTCGCATGGGTCAATATTAGCTCCCTCGCATGGGTCAATATTAGCTCCCTCGCATGGGTCAATATTAGCTCCCTCGCATGGGTCAATATTAGCTCCCTCGCATGGGTCAATATTAGCTCCCTCGCATGGGTCAATATTAGCTCCCTCGCATGGGTCAATATTAGCTCCCTCGCATGGGTCAATATTAGCTCCCTCGCATGGGTCAATATTAGCTCCCTCGCATGGGTCAATATTAGCTCCCTCGCATGGGTCAATATTAGCTGCCTCATATGGGACAGTAGGAGCTGCCTCATATGGGACAGTAGGAGCTGCCTCATAAGGGCACAGTAGGAGCTGCCTCATATGGGACAGTAGGAGCTGCCTCATATGGGACAGTAGGAGCTGCCTCATATGGGACAGTAGGAGCTGCCTCATATGGGACAGTAGGAGCTGCCTCATATGGGACAGTAGGAGCTGCCTCATAAGGGCACAGTAGGAGCTGCCTCATATGGGACAGTAGGAGCTGCCTCATATGGGACAGTAGGAGCTGCCTCATATGGGACAGTAGGAGCTGCCTCATATGGGACAGTAACAACGTACCTTGACTTTATTCTTGGGCCCCGTAAACACCTCCTCGACTTGTCGCCGCCTGTTCCTGGGGATGAAGGACCGGAGGGACGAGGTCCTCTTGGTGGGACGGGACGCCGAGGTGATGACGGGGACGGCGATGTTCCGGGACGGGCGCGGGAGTCGCATTGTTGACGGGCGCGCCTGTCCGTCCCGGGGGTGGCAACGGTGTGGTTAGGTTGTGTTGGGCCACACCTCTCACCCCACACCTCTCACCCCACACCTCTCACCCCACACCTCTCACCCCACACCTCTCACCCCACACCTCTCACCCCACACCTCTCACCCCACACCTCTCACCCCACACCTCTCACTCCACACCTCTCACTCCACACCTCTCACCTCCACACCTCTCACCCCACACCTCTCACCCCACACCTCTCACCCCACACCTCTCACCCCACACCTCTCACCCCACACCTCTCACCCCACACCTCTCACTCCACACCTCTCACCCCACACCTCTCACCCCACACCTCTCACCCCACACCTCTCACCCCACACCTCTCACCCCACACCTCTCACCCCACACCTCTCACCCCACACCTCTCACCCCACACCTCTCACCCCACACCTCTCACCCCACACCTCTCACTCCACACCTCTCACCCCACACCTCTCACCCCACACCTCTCACTCCACACCTCTCACCCCACACCTCTCACCCCACACCTCTCACCCCACACCTCTCACCCCACACCTCTCACCCCACACCTCTCACCCCACACCTCTCACCCCACACCTCTCACCCCACACCTCTCACCCCACACCTCTCACTCCACACCTCTCACTCCACACCTCTCACCCCACACCTCTCACCCCACACCTCTCACCCCACACCTCTCACTCCACACCTCTCACTCCACACCTCTCACCCCACACCTCTCACCCCACACCTCTCACCCCACACCTCTCACCCCACACCTCTCACTCAACCTCTCACTCACACCTCTCACTAAACCCATTCACCCCATCACACCCTTCACCACACCTAACACCCCTCACCACACCTCACACCATACTTCACACCTCACCACACACCCCACATACCTCACCACACCACACACCCTTCACCACACCCCACCACACTACCCCTCACCACACCTCACCACACCACACACCCTTCACCACACCTAACACCACACCCCACCACACTACCCCTCACCACACCTCAACACACCACACACCCTTCACCACACCTAACACCACACCCCACCACACTACCCCTCACCACACCTCAACACACCACACACCCTTCACCACACCTAACACCCTTCACCACACCTAACACCACACCCCACCACACTACCCCTCACCACACCCCTCACCACAGCAACTCACCCTCCTGCTCTCGTTCTCAGAGTCGCCCGAGTCATCAAAGGGACTCTTGCTGCCGACGGAGGACGGGGACGAGGAGGTGAAGTCACTGGAATAGTCACTGAAGCCGGACTGTGAGTCCCGGGAGAGGATGAGCTGGTCCACCATACTGCGGGTCATCTGGCTCATGTCCACCGCGTTCCTCAGGCTCAGGTCCAGCACCTGGCTCAGTCCGGCCACCACCACACACCGCAGTCCGGCCACCACCACAGTCACACATGTTAAGGTAAAGGCAAGAGGCGTTAGGAAGCGTGTGGATGGAGAAGCTCATGTTAATATCTTGTTAGTTAAAGCCTTCCTCAACTGTACTATTACATCAGTGGTGTTAGACAGGTCTTGTTTACATTCTTGGCTGGTTTAGGAAAGTTGGTGGGAGATGTTAGGAGGTAGGCAGGTGGCCTGGCTAGTGGGATAGTCTAGTGAGGGGCAGGTGGCCTGGCTAGTGGGATAGTCTAGTGAGGGGCAGGTGGCCTGGCTAGTGGGATAGTCTAGTGAGGGGCAGGTGGCCTGGCTAGTGGGATAGTCTAGTGAGGGCAAGTGGCCTGGCTAGTGGGATAGTCTAGTGAGGGCAAGTGGCCGGGCTAGTGGGATAGTCTAGTGAGGGCAAGTGGCCTGGCTAGTGGGATAGTCTAGTGAGGGCAAGTGGCCGGGCTAGTGGGATAGTCTAGTGAGGGCAAGTGGCCGGGCTAGTGGGATAGTCTAGTGAGGGCAAGTGGCCTGGCTAGTGGGATAGTCTAGTGAGGGCAAGTGGCCGGGCTAGTGGGATAGTCTAGTGAGGGCAAGTGGCCTGGCTAGTGGGATAGTCTAGTGAGGGCAAGTGGCCTGGCTAGTGGGATAGTCTAGTGAGGGCAAGTGGCCGGGCTAGTGGGATAGTCTAGTGAGGGCAAGTGGCCGGGCTAGTGGGATAGTCTAGTGAGGGCAAGTGGCCTGGCTAGTGGGATAGTCTAGTGAGGGCAAGTGGCCTGGCTAATGGGATAGTCTAGTGAGGGCAAGTGGGATAGTCTAGTGAGGGCAAGTGGCCTGGCTAGTGGGATAGTCTAGTGAGGGGCAGGTGGCCTGGCTAGTGGGATAGTCTAGTGAGGGCAAGTGGCCGGGCTAGTGGGATAGTCTAGTGAGGGCAAGTGGCCGGGCTAGTGGGATAGTCTAGTGAGGGCAAGTGGCCTGGCTAGTGGGATAGTCTAGTGAGGGCAAGTGGCCGGGCTAGTGGGATAGTCTAGTGAGGGGCAGGTGGCCTGGCTAGTGGGATAGTCTAGTGAGGGCAAGTGGCCGGGCTAGTGGGATAGTCTAGTGAGGGCAAGTGGCCTGGCTAGTGTGATAGTCTAGTGAGGGGCAGGTGGCCTGGCTAGTGGGATAGTCTAGTGAGGGGCAGGTGGCCTGGCTAGTGGGATAGTCTAGTGAGGGCAAGTGGCCGGGCTAGTGGGATAGTCTAGTGAGGGCAAGTGGCCGGGCTAGTGGGATAGTCTAGTGAGGGCAAGTGGCCAGGCTAGTGGGATAGTCTAGTGAGGGGGAGGTGGCCTGGCTAGTGGGATAGTCTGGTGAGGGCAAGTGGCCTGGCTAGTGGGATAGTCTGGTGAGGGCAAGTGGCCTGGCTAGTGGGATAGTCTGGTGAGGGCAAGTGGCCTGGCTAGTGGGATAGTCTGGTGAGGGCAAGTGGCCTGGCTAGTGGGATAGTCTGGTGAGGGCAGGTGGCCTGGCTAGTGGGATAGTCTAGTGAGGGGCAGCTGGCCTGGCTGGTAGGATAGTCTAGTGAGGGGGGAGAGATAGCCTCCTGGATAGACATAGCCCAGACTGACCTTGGGCTTCTTGAGGGTAGCGGTGGCGGGCCGGTTCTTGGCGGAGAGGTCGCCGTACGACGCGGACCGTGGTCGTCGGAGTCGCTGATGCTGGGGGTCGTGCCAGGAGGAGCTGAGGTCGTCGGGGTCGGAGGTGGGCGTGTAGGCCGCGGGCGTGGGTGACATCTCCGGGCGCAGGTGGTGCTCCTGGTGGTGCGGGTGTCCCGGCGGGGGTGACGGCGTGGCCTCCCGCCGGTTCCTGAAGGACCGGATGCTGCGTTAGTGCTCGGTACAGGGATTTCTCCGGTACTGATGAAGGAGGCTTATCCGGCCTCCTCTTCTGAGGCTGGGTAAACCGGCTTCACCCCCCCCCCACACTCATCTCCTTCTACTCATCTATTCCAACACACATCTACTCTAGCACTCATCTACCCAGTACTAATCTATTCCAGTACTCATCCACTCTACTCCAGCACTCAATACTACAGAACTCGTCTACCGCCTCGCTGTAATGTGTAGTTGTAATGATTGTGGGTTATCTATTGTGATGGCTACTTGTGTTGTAATAACTAGTCTTCTAATGATCACTGACGCCCACGAATATTCTCCTAAACTTTTATCATGGATAAAGCCCCCAAACTGAAGGCAGTATCCATACGTGCGGCCATCACCTCTAAATCATAGTAGGCATCCGTCAATCCCGTGGGGATATGGAGTTGTGCCCTAAGTGTCCAGTTGGATGCTGCGCCTGCTGTGGCTGTGAAGGCCAACCCGAGAGTGACAGTCCTACCCGCAGCGAGCGCAGATAAACGCCGAAGCGGGTGTGTCTGACAGTGGTCGAGACCTCCTCTGAAGTCTATTATCCTCCGCCGGCCTCTTCAGTTCATCCTCGAATTGGTGGAATTCCTTCTGCACTTTACATCTCCAGTCAGATCTGTCCGCAGCTGCTGCCTCCCAAGTGTTGATGTCGATGTTCAGCTGCTTGAGGTTGCCTTTGCAGGCGTCTTTGAAACGCAGCTGAGGTCTTCCGGTGGGTCTCCTTCCTGATGCCAGTTCTCCATACAAGAGATCCTTCGGTATGCGGCCATCTTCCATGAGTGTGACATGTCCCAGCCATCGCATGCGTCTCTGTTTCAGGAGAGTGAACATTGAAGGGATTCCTGTTCTCTCGAGTACTGTGTTGTTGGTGATGTGGTCTTTCCACGTGATGTCAAGGATGCGTCTCAGGTTCCGCATGTGAAAGGTGTTGAGCCGTCTCTCCTGGTGAGAGCGCAGGGTCCAGGATTCCGAGCCGTAGAGAAGTGTACTCACCACACATGCCATGAAGACTTGTGCCTTGGTGTGTACTGTCAGTTTGGCATTTTCCCAAACGTGCTTTGTGAGCCTGGCCAGTGTTGTTGTGGCCTTCCCGATACGCCTGTTGAGCTCAGTGTCCAGGGAAAGGGTGTCTGAGATTGTGGAGCCCAGGTTATCTTGAGGTTATCTTGAGATGATTTCGGGGCATTTTAGTGTCCCCGCGGCCCGGTCCTCGACCAGGCCTCCACCCCCAGGAAGCAGCCCGTGACAGCTGACTAACACCCAGGTACCTATTTTACTGCTAGGTAACATGGGCATAGGGTGAAAGAAACTCTGCCTATTGTTTCTCACCGGCGCCTGGGATCGAACCCAGGACCACAGGATCACAAGTCCAGCGTGCTGTCCGCTCGGCCGACCGGCTCCACAAACCCGTGATACTCCAGGTACACAAACCCGTGAACTGCCTCCAGCACATAATCTGTGATGTTTATACAGGGTGGCTCATTGACGCCTTGTCCCATCACCTGTGTCTTCTTCAGGCTGATTGCCAGGCCGAATGTGGAACAAGCTGCGGCAAAGCGGTTGAGTAGCTGCTGCAGGCCTTCTGCTGAGTGTGTGGTGATCGCTGCGTCGTCGGCGAAGAGGAACTCCCTGAGGATTCGCACTGGTACTTTCGTCTTTGCTTGCTCGGAGTCTGGATAGATTATAGAGCTTACCATCAGATCTTGTTCGGAGATAGATGCTCTCTGTGGTTGTTCCAAAGGTATGCTTGATGAGGATCGCGAAGATGCCAAACAGGGTTGGAACAAGAACACACCCCTGTTTAACACCACTGTTGATGTTGAATGGTTCACGACTCCTTCCTTCATGTCCTTGTGGAACGATTGTATCATGCTGAGTAGGGTTACCTTACCTTGAGGTGCTTCCGGGGCTTAGCGTCCCCGCGGCCCGGTCGTCGACCAGGCCTCCTGGTTGCTGGACTGATCAACCAAGCTGTTAGTCGCGGCTGCTCGCAGCCTGACGTATGAGTCACAGCCTGGTTGATCAGGTATCCTTTGGAGGTGCTTATCCAGTTCTCTCTTGAACACTGTGAGGGGTCGGCCAATTATGCCCCTTATGTGTAGTGGAAGCGTGTTGAACAGTCTCGGGCCTCTGATGTTGATAGTTCTCTCTTGAACACTGTGAGGGGTCGGCCAGTTATGCCCCTTATGTGTAGTGGAAGCGTGTTGAACAGTCTCGGGCCTCTGATGTTGATAGAGTTCTCTCTCAGAGTACCTGTTGCACCTCTGCTTTTCAACGGGGGTATTCTGCACATCCTGCCATGTCTTTTGGTCTCATGTGATGTTATTTCTGTGTGCAGGTTTGGGACCAGCCCCTCAATTATTTTCCACGTGTAAATTATTATGTATCTCTCCCGCCTGCGCTCAAGGGAGTACAGATTTAGGCTCTTTAGTCGGTCCCAGTAATTTAGATGTTTTACTGAGTGGATTCTAGCAGTAAAGGATCTCTGCACGCTCTCCAGGTCAGCAATTTCTCCAGCTTTGAAAGGGGCTGTCATTGTGCAGCAATACTCCACTCTAGAGAGCACAAGCGTTTTGAAAAGTATCATCATCGGTATAGCATCTCTAGTGTGAAAGGTTCTTGTTATCCAACCTGTCATTTTTCTTGCAGTTGTGACGGCTACTTTATTGTGTTCTTTAAAGGTAAGGTCTTCCGACATGAGTACACCCAGATCCTTTACATTGGCTTTTCGTTCTATGTTATGATTTGCCTGAGTTTTGTACGTGGTTTCCGTTTTTATATTTTCAATTTTTCCGTAGCGCATGAGCTGGAACTTATCCTCGTTAAACACCATATTATTTTCTGTAGCCCATAGAAAGACCTGATCTACATCTGATTAAAGGTTTGCCGTGTCCTCTATGTTGTCTACTCTCATGAAAATCCTAGTGTCATCTGCTTAGGATGATACAGTGCTATAGGTTGTGTTCTTGTCTATGTCCGATATGAGGATGAGAAAAAGTACTGGAGCAAGCACAGGACCCTGGGGGACTGAGCTCTTCACGGTGGGTGGGCAGTCAATTATGGCCAAGATCTTGAAGAGTCCGTCCCTGCTCACGAGGTCGAAGGCCTTTGTAAGGTCAATGAATGCGATGTACAAGGCTTTTCTCTGCTCTCTGCACTTTTCTTGAAGCTGTCTCAGGAAGAACACTATGTCAGTGGTTGACATCTCTGCTCGGAAACCACACTGTGACTCTGGGTACACTCTTTCAGCAAGAATCTGGAGCCTGACCAAGACGACCCTGGCGAAGAGTTTGCCGACGACGCTGAGGAGGGAGATGCCGCGATAGTTGTTGACATCGCTTCTGTCACCTTTATTTTTGTAGAGAGTGATGATGTTTGCATCTCTCATGTCTTGTGGCACCGATCCACAAGACATGGCTCCCTCCAGCACTGGCACAGACGTTCATGAGGCTCAGTTTTAAGTGTTCCACGAGCACATTTGAGCACTTCAGGCGGAATCCCGTCGTCTCCTGGGGCCTTCCCTGAGGAAAGTGAATCCACTGCTTTCTCAACTTTTTCCACAGTTGGTTCAAGATCAAGTTCTTCCATGATGAGCAGGCTCTCGTGTTGCATCCAAGTCCTCTACACTGACCAAGTTCTCTCTGGAGTAGAGTTCGGAGTAATGTTCCACCCAGCGATTCACCTGTTGATCACGGTCTTTAATGATCTCTCCAGTGGCTAACTTCAGAGGAGCTGCCCTGTTTAGTGTAGGGCCTGTTGCCTTTTTGATCCCTTCGTACATGTCTCTTATGTTGCCAACAGTGGCCGCAGTCTGGATGCTGGAACAGTCGGAGCCAGTAATCGTTAGCACAGCGCCTCGCAGTTTGTTGAACCTCGTAAATCATATATCATAACAGTATAGTACAGTTGGCATCCGTCAATCCCGTGGGGGATATGGAGTTGTGCCCTGGGTGTCTAGTCATTGTAGTCTAGTTGGATGCAGCGCCTGCTGTGGCTGTGAAGGCCAACCCGAGAATGACAGTCCTACCCGCAGCGAGCGCAGATAAACGCCGAAGCGGGTGCGTCTGACAGTGGTCGAGACCTCCTCTGAAGTCTATTATCCTCCGCCTGCTTCTTTAATTCATCCTCAAATTGCTGAAGTCCCTTCTGCACTTTGCACCTCCAGGCACATCTGTCCGCAGCCCCGGCCCACCAAGGTGGCCCACAGCACTAGTGACGTCAGTGGCGGGCCACAGCACTAGTGACGTCAGTGGTGGCCCACAGCACTAGTGACGTCAGTGGCGGGCTACAGAACTAGTGACGTCAGTGGTGGCCCACAGCACTTGTGACGTCAGTGGCGGGCCACAGCACTAGTGACGTCAGTGGTGGCCCACAGCACTAGTGACGTCAGTGGTGGCCCAAAACACTAGTGACGTCAGTGGCGGGCCACAGCACTAGTGACGTCAGTGGCGGGCCACAGCACTAGTGACGTCAGTGGTGGGCCACAACACTAGTGACGTCAGCGGCGGGCCACAAAACTAGTGACGTCAGCGGCGGGCCAGAACACTAGTGACGTCAGCGGCGGGCCACAGCACTAGTGACGTCAGTGGCGGGCCACAGCACTAGTGACGTCAGCGGCGGGCCACAGCAGTAGTGACGTCAGTGGCGGGCCACAGCACTAGTGACGTCAGTGGCGGGACACAGCATTAGTGACGTCAGTGGTGGGCCACAGCACTAGTGACGTCAGCGGCGGGCCACATAACTAGTGACGTCAGCGGCGGGCCACATAACTAGTGACGTCAGCGGCGGGCCACAGCACTAGTGACGTTAGCGGCGGGCCACAGCACTAGTGACGTCAGCGGCGGGCCACAGCACTAGTGACGTCAGCGGCGGGCCACATAACTAGTGACGTCAGCGGCGGGCCACAGCAGTAGTGACGTCAGCAGCGGGCCACAGCACTAG